CTGTTAGCCTTGTTAGTGGAAGATTTAATAGATGAGTATATAGTCTGAAGCAAAAGGAAAAGGAGGGTGTACAATCACAATGGTAAACAAGCATGTTGTGGTCATATGAATTGATTACTTGCAAAATTATAATATAGCTAAATGCCCCTAAGTGTTTATGAACCCTATTGCTTGAACCCCCAAATCATAATCAACAGCTCCAAACCTTACTTTCGGACTCCATAAGTTTCCTTGAAACTATCCCCCTTCAAGCCCAGCTCTGATAACCCGTGCATATTGATTCAGCAAATGACAGCGCCAAGTATAATCCTACTGAAATATCAAAAGTTTAGAGATTTTTGACATTTTTCAAATATCTAGATATTTGACGCGGGATGCCCTGGGGATAACCATCGGCTTCGTAAAGGGCTTTGAGAGTATGATAATATTGGTCAGAGGGGAAGTCCTGGGATCTGTCTCGCGTTTCGTACTCTTCCGGAAAGTCAATCATCCAATCCGTCTCTGACGGGGGAAGCCAATCATTCTCTAAACCACTCGAATCTTCCATCATGCATGAAGGGGCCGTATTTCTTAGAAACGCGCATTCAATTGTGTACGGCGTCCGTTTCTTGTTGTCGGGATCTCCTGGATAGTGATATTTTCCGCATTGTTTTAGTTTTCCGACGCCTGTCTTGATATCGTACATCCTCCAGTCTTTCCAATCCTTCTCAATCTCCCCTTTGAAAATAGGAGAATTCGAAAAGGCCGTTTCGAGCTTCTCAAACGATACCAAAGCGACTCCGCAACTTCCATCCTTGCCACGCATGAGCCGCCGCTTTATTGTAGGTCTCATCCACTCATCGAGCATGGGACAATTATCATTTCTACAGACCGAGGGATCATTGTGCTGGGCGCTACTTCCAGGATCAGTCTCATCAACCTGTTCTTCATAATCCCATCTTCCAGCTTCCGTATCGTCGTCGACTCTGTGAGAGTCGTCGTCGTTAGAATGAGCTAGAATTTCGGTTTCATCTCTCCAAATATCACAACCTCTTCTCTCCACTAAAATGAGATTTCGGATCCCTGGAAACCGCGAAATCATGGCAGCTGGTGAGGTTGCCACTTCAAGGCCAATATTGCAGTCGTAGTTCATTTCCCCCGAACATACCCAACAATCATAATCAACGGCTAAATATTGTAACTTGTCTCGGAGGCCTCGCTTCTCCAAGTAATTCAAGAAGCCGGAATTATGTAAAGTCGGAACTCTCTGCCCAATGTATATAATATCTCGTTCCCAATATATCCATTGCCCGAAACATTTTGACCCACCGCTGTTGATGATATTTCTGGCTTCATGGTTGACTCTCGCGACTGCCGGCTCTTGGTAACATCGTCGCAAACAGTTGCATTTTTCTACATGCCATGAATAGATTCTCCTGTTGCGATAATAACCGTTCGGCTTGGCGTAGAGTTCAATTACACGAGAGGGTAGGGAGGCTTTCCAGATTATAGTTCGTAATTCGATGGGGAGACGAGGAAACGGATGGAATACTCTTGAAGGTGGCGGTGGGGCTACTTCTAGCAGTTCCTGTGCTTCTTGAATTGTTGAGGCCATTGTCAAGACTTAGGTCGTTGTTGTGAAAGAGGTTCAGACTTGTCTAAATCAAGTTTTGTTGTGATAAAACCAAGGATGAAAAGGTATTGTTCTTTTAAAAGAAGAAGTTTGGTAGTGGGATGTTATTTTTGGTTTCTGTTTTTGGAAGGAGAAAAGTTGGAGTGTGGGGGGATGATGGAAGCCCTTTTATAGCTAATTAGCTGGGCTGTATTTGATCAAATACAGCCTTGATGTATCAATCAATCTGTGTGCTGCTACTGCCTCCACTCCACCTCTCAGGAGTGAATACGAAAGGAGGGGTACCATGCCAGGTTTTGGTAACATGAGGACCTCACAAATGATTGATGGGATTAAGTTAGTGTACTGTGGTACTATATTTCCTGACTCAGGGTCAAACATTCAATTCCCTCACTTCACTTCAAACATAGATTTCACATATCAATTGATAAATAGCCATGAGATACCTTCTGTATACAGAAAGTACATGGTTATTGTACTTGACAGTAGAGACCTCAGGATCTAATAAGTGTACATAAGTATGGTAGAGGCATATCTTCAACAGATTGTTTTAAGATCCTGAGTAACTTAACTATCCATAGGTTGTATCCATACATCATTTTAATACGGCTGTTAAAGTGAAGTTCTTTCTTTGAATCTTCCTGCCAATCATAGCCGGTCTTTCAAGTAGGTCTTTTGGTTTTATTACACATTAATATCAGGGTGTTTCTCCATTCTCCCCCTACCAAATATGTAATCTGGGTACGTTTTTGCACATTCCATCTAGGGGTCATTCTGGCTGTCCAACTTTTTGATGAACAATTTGGTTGCAGTAGTGAGGTCTTTCAGCTATCCCTCCTACCACATTGTTCTTTCATGGCAAGGGCTTTCTTCTTGAATATTGATGGCAGGGTTTGTTTCCCTTCTCCTTCTGCTAGGCTAGAAGAGAATTACAATTTTTGTTGCTCATTGTGATGGGAAACCCAAAGAGCAAACTCTGCCATCTTGTCAAATGTGCCTGGTTATTGAATGATTCTGATTTTCTCCTCAATGATTGTGGTTTGTTCTCAAGATAACTTCATAAATAAAGTCACCGCCTTTCAACCTGGCCAGTGGTAAATAACTTCATCTGATCTCCCATGTCGGAACTATCTCTCTCCGGTGTTTACCTTCATAGACATGAAAGAGAAAATATAATATTCATCACAAAAAGACTTCCAACTCAAACTCTCGTTTTATTGCATAGTTCACCTTGCATCAACTTTTTTACTGTCATTCTTGCAATCATTTTGTCTTTTCTTTTACACTTGTCATCACATTCAACTCCTCGCTTCCTTTTCAAAACTCCTTTCTATATTGATTATTTATCGAGGCTTGTTTATAGATTTGCATATCATGATGATTTTGATATTCTTGTTAATCTGGGGTCTTTGGGTCAGAGTTGGAGCTTCCAGTGATATTAATGCCACTTTCTTCTATATTTCTCTTGATCCAAAGGCGACTATTACTATGGTACGCTGGCTACTTCTATTCTATGAATCTATTGGTTCGAGAGAAAGCTAATACTCAACAGTTTCAAAGCGTTCAAGTGGTTCCTGCTTCCTCCACGGCGCCAGTCATACAAGGCAATGTCCAAGCTATTTGGCCTGCACTTCAGAATAATCAAGGGATGATTCAAACAGCAGTCGCAAATCAAGGTAGTTTTGGAGAGTGGTTTTACATTGGATTAGAGTATTGCTGCACGTATGTATTCTCTCCATTTTATACCCAGCATTCACTTTAAAAAATCGACTGAGAGTTGGTCAAGAACATTAAAAGAGACAAAGCTAAATTTGTATCGAATTAAAGACCTCACGACTGGCAAGCTGATAAGCCTCTACAAGGTACGTTCCCTAGGTTTACTAATCTTTCTGCAAAAATGGGCTGACAGAAATTCAGTATATCCTGGAGACCGTATTACCACTCGATACAAATTGACGAATGAAAAAACCGGTATATATAATGTGACATGGAATGTTGAGCGAGGCCAAGAGGGTATACAAGCTGGTGAAACAAAATTTTCTGATGGATCTGTATTCAATCCCCAGGAACATGGTAAGTCGCATGGCAGATTCTCCCTCGCTACCTTTGATGGAAGAATCAGAGTATGCTAACAAGAGTAATCACTAGAAACTCATTCTGGCCAAGGCCCCTTCACGACCGTAAGTAGCTGGCTCAACTACAATGCCGTGTGATTTAAAGATAAACTAACCAACTCTAGGCACTGTTTGCAGTCGAAACACAAAAATCAGCTACGTGGGATTTTGGTCCAGTCCGATGGGATCAAATCACTATACAAGCCAACACTACTAGAAGCGATTGGTGTTACAGGTACGTGCCTAGAATCTTCCTTCACCCCTCTCTTTCCCATATCTCTGTTCTCTACTATATCCCTATCAATTGATCCCACGAACTAAGTCTTTATAGACCTGAGAACAACACCAATTTCCAGTACTATGTCGACACCCCAACCATATCCATCTCTGGCTCCCAAGTCACATGCAAGTTTTCCTCCCTAATCCTTGGAGATACGCCATCATCCTCACCACCCTCATCTCAATCATCTCTCACAGAAACTTCCATCATCGACCCAGGTCCCACGACGGAGCCCTCCCAACTCTTCGCCACCAACAGCCCCATCATCGACGTCTACAACCGGAACCCAGCCCTGCCCACGCCCAAATTCACCTCCGCCATCTTACCCGCCTCTACACTTCCTAACGGTCTCCCAGATCCATCCTATTCCGCCAAAGTATCATCCATCAACTCGATTGTCGGCTCATTCAATTCGCGCGCCATGTCCGAAGCGAGCATGATGAGTTTATATGGAACCATTACTATTACAAGTGTAGATGGGGATAGTGTATTGACTACGATCACGACGGATAATTATATTGCGTACCGGTCATCGATCGATGCGGCGGCTGCCAGTGTGAATGGAACGGGCACGGGCGATTCTACAAGTGGGGATGGCGAAGATGCACCCGTTGTTAGTTCCGGGACTAGCACGGCATGGACGGTATCCGTACTCTTCCTGCTATGGGTGCTGGTTATGTTTCTGGGTATCTTATTGGTTAATGTGCGATTATCACGTTGGAGACGTAATGACCAAGAGGTAGCAACACAAGTTGATTAAGATCGGGTGCACGTCAAGATTCGGATTTGAGATTGATGATGGATACCTATTTCCATAAAATAAGAAGTGCAGCAAATCTAGAAACTTCTAAAAGCTCTTCTTTGCAGTGAATAGTCCTCCTATCCTCCACTCCACTTCCACTCCACTTGAACCCAATTCAATCCAATCCAATCCAATAAATCCGTAAACAAGTCCCTCCATAGCAACAAAAAAACAAAATCCAAAGCAAAAACCGGAAATATAGTTCAATGGTAGAATACTCACTTCTCAGTGTGGGTGATTGAAGGAATCTGACCACGGCCTTTGGGCATATTGGAAGTGACCTTTGGTCGCTCTAACGAAAGTGTGGGAGATAGGAGTTCGATTCTCTCTATTTCTGATTATATTTCTTTTGTTCTTTTTGGGGGGGATATGGTGGATGGGCTGGCGGTTTGAGAAATTGTAGGGTATGATTGGTTGGTTATATTTTGAGTTTAACGATCTGATTTGGGATGTTTTCGAGAAATCCTTTCAGTTGTGTATATGATGAAAAGCTAGAATATAAATTCGAATGAGAATTCATTTATGCTTGGGGATTTGATTTATGGTGCATTTAGTACCTAGCTTTGTATTTCCCAATCTTTCTAATCATTTTGGACAATTCAGAGAGCGTCGATACAGACATATATAGCAAAACTCGATATGAAGGGACTTGTAAATTTGCCATGGCGTTGATGAAACTAATTTGATATTGCACTATCTACTTCTCCAATGATATTGCGGGTTATTCTTTGGGCGTCTTTAATATGTTGGTGTGTATCAATCTTATTGCTTCAGTGTTTTTATGAACGGGGAAAATATGTCGGAGTACTATATATGTGTGTGTGTTGGCCATTTACCTGGGGATATTATGGGGACAAGAAGAAAGCTGAGATTAGATGTGCCAAGAATAGAGTCGATCATCTTCCTCGAGATATTCTAATCGGCATCTGCTGTTAAGAATAGCTGTTGAAAATATTTCTCAGGTGCGACCACAAAAACTATCGCGGCCGAGTATCTGGGCCTACTGGGCTGAGAGGTATGTATGTGATGAATCAAGACTGCTATGTGTGGTCTTTAAAGTATAAACCTCAGAATGGTATCGAATTACCGGACTCCCACTTCCCCGACCGAAGTTCTAGATAGATCAACAATATGAGGGAGCTTTCTTGCTCTTGGCTTATCCACCACAGAATCATGGACAGATGAGAGCACGAAACCAAAACCAAAGTCAAGCAATGTACTGTCTGATGTATAAACCAAGAGCCTTTGCTATTTGCTGGATGATACTTGTATTTACTCAGTGGGATTTAATTAAGTGTTTGATAAACCTGAAATTTCAATTCGCAACAAGCTGATAAATAGACTACGATGACGTGATAAAGCTGTAGATTTTAGGTTATTGGAAGGTGTTCGTTCCATTCAATCTCGCCTCGTTCTCATTAGACTTTATATTGGAATAGATTGTAATATATCGGGTTGCGAGCATCCATATAACAGCTGTTACTCACATGATGGATTTTCTATCTTCACTCCTAAACATTCTCTAGTAAATACGCTTTATGGAAGCGATGATACTACCATGTACCTGCTACACTTGACAGTTGGGGTACTTGCTGCACACAATTGGGGCGAGCTGATAATGTAAATGAGCGAACCACTATCCCAGATACTGTCTAGTACAGATAGTCTCTCAATAGAGAATATCACATAAGACATAAGCATGGGAAGGTTGAGCATCCACGAAAGGTGACAGGTACAGCAAGAGAAGGGAAAGTAGCACAGCCAAGGAACAACAGCGAAAACACACACACAGAGGGAGAGAGAGGGGGCGAGAGAGAGAGAAAGCTGGAAGGAGGACATAAAATCAAGGAAAGTTTATTAGGAAAGCAGTCCGTACAAAGAACTTCCAATGTCGCAGCTGTAATGGTACCAGTTGTAAGGTTACTACTCAATCAAGTTTTATTGTGAGCATTTTCTTAAATCAATACCATTTTAGCCTTTTTGTACCACAGGCCTGGATAGTGAATTGATGTTATTAAAGACTTATTACCCCTATACCGGTAGCCAGGATCTGAGATGATTTGTGGTGCATGGGATACTAGGTAGGGTGAGGGATGGGGTGGCGTTAGCATTAGCGGATGTACCGAGTAGTGATTATATAAGCGGAAGCAGGTGATTGATTGGGTGGGTCCGCAAGGCTGCAGCGAACTCTGAAAACCAGGCCAGGCCAGAGAAGAAGGCTGGATGGATTCACCACCTGCAGCTGGAGTACCTCTTTGCCTACACTAGGTATATCTTCATCTTCATCTTCATCTTTAGTATTTACCTCAATCTTCTTTCTACTGTACATGTACAATATTCACGAATGAAACTCAGCACACGAAGATTTTTATTTAAATACCGACATCCTGTACCTTCTTTAATTACCGCTGACGCAAAACAAAACCTCTCGCTCTCACTTTTATTGTAATTCTCATTGACTTCCTTCACTCCAACAGCTCCGGTGTTTTCAAGCAGATTCGATAAAGCTCCTTGTCCCATTCAACAACTCATACCTAGATACATAAAGTTGGGCCTGGTCAGATCAGATCATATCACATCACATCATATAATTCGAGACTCTTCTTAGAAAGACGGGTGTACTTGGCTTGAGCAATAAATTCTAAGAATCTGCAAGGCTTTCTTGCTTCTCATCATACAGTAATAGGTCACCATGAACGGCTCTACTAATGGGCATGGCACAACTGACATCAACTTACCAGCCGCACAAGCAAATGAGAACATGTTACTATTAGGACGAATCCAAGAAGCCCTTGAACTTGTCCATAATCCGTATTCCTCCAACCAGGCTCGTCAACAAGCCTCGAGTTTCCTAGAGAATGTCAAAACCGAAGACGAAGCTCCTTATCATGGTTTTGTCTTAGCATGCGACAAACACCAAGAGCCGGTCGTACGTCACTATGCACTGTCTCTGATAGAGCATGCGATAAAACATAAATGGGCAGCATACTCGGAGGCGCAAGCAAGTGCGCTGCGACAATGGATCATTGAACTCTCAGAGAATCTGGATCAAGATGACCCCTTATATCTGCGAAACAAGACAGCACAAATTTGGGTGGAGGCTGCGAAAAGAAGTTGGGGATCAGAGTGGACTGATATGGATAAGCTTCTTGTGAAATTGTGGGAGCTTCCAGGCCCTGTAGTTCACAAGGAGTTTGTTCTGTTTGTTCTCGAGACCCTCTCCGATGAGGTCTTTAATGGCGAAGATGCTGTCACCATTTTACGAGAGGGTGTTTTGAGCAAAGCTTGTGTCGAAATTTTCACACCCGCAGTTGTGCTATCAGAAGCGTTCCCCAATCGACAGTTAGGTACCGTTTTGAGACATGGAAATGAAGGTTGGCTAGTAAGAATTGGCGGATTGCTTGGCCAGTGCCTTCAGCTGGACATTTCAAGCCCTGAGTATCAGAGTTGTGCAGTTAAAGTATTGGCTGTCTACAAGTCTGTGGTGCCCTGGACCGTACCAAGAGCTATCTCCAGTGCCCAATGCGTTCAATATATGTGCAAATGTCTCGCTACGTCTAGTACACCAGTACAACTGGTAAGTTCCAAAAAGCACCCGTGAAACGAGCTTACAGGACTAATATCTCTTAGGCGTCTGTTCAAGCTCTATTTGCACTTTATTCTCGTACACATTTTTCGGATGAGGAATTTTTAGAACTTGTATGCCCGATGTATACAAGTGAAGTGGTTGGTTTACTACGAAACCTATTCCAATGGTCTGTAGTAGACGCCGATGATATTGATGATGAAAAGTATTTATTTGCCAAAAAGCTTTCTGAGGTTTGACACATTTTTAACGATCTCCCCTGAACTTACTGACCTCATGCAGATGATGTCAAATCTCGGAGTATTCATTGAATCTAGAGTTTCCGCTATTCCCGAATCTTGCGATCTTCCTAACCTTTTTAGCCTTTTTCTCGCCATTGCTCAAAGTCAAAGTCTTGTCGTTTCGATACCTATTATTCACATCTGGACAAAGCTACTTCGCTCGCCAATCATTGGGGCATCTCCTACCATAACCCCTCTAATTGCACCTCTTCTAGAACTTTGTAGTTCACGCCTTGTTCGATATGAGAACATGTCAGATGACAGCGAAGATCCCGAGTATCTCTTTTTGAAGGAAGATATCGATACGCAGCCAGAGAGACATGCATTCCTTGGAAACTATCGACGATATTGCTCACAAGTCATAGAGCTTGTAGTTCGACAAAAGCAATCCGAGGCCTTGTATCATATATTAGGCCAAGTTGATAACTCTTTGCAGCATCTTTATGACGGATGTCCGGCGTTTTCTGGTGAACAGCCTCTTCATTTTTACGTTACAAATGATTAACCTTAATTTAGCGGAAAATTATTCTAAAACTTCGATACCAATCCTACGAGTCGATAAAGAATTCACTGTAGTAGAAGCAGCTCTTAAAGGATATATGAAATGGCGGGTGGGACATGGCTCCGATCCCCAACGAGATGTAAGCATACACGAGATATTGTAGTTGATAATTTAACTGACATATAACAGGAGCAAGAGCGCACAAACATAGAGAACAACCTAGAAACTTGGTGTGGACGATTGTTGGAGCTCAAGTTCGAGGTATGTTGTGACCATACCGTTCCGAAGCTTGTCTAATCTCTTCACTAGGATCCAATAATTCGAAAGAGGATTATACAGCTCGCCGTCGCATTTTCAACCACTGCTTTGGACAAGAAAGTGGGCTTCATGCTTAAAGTCCTAGAACACATTTTGATGACACAACCTATGGAGTATCCAAATGCCCCCGCTTATACCGAAGCCGTGAAAGAGCTACAATCCGAGTCTGCTTATGAGTTGCAACGACTAGCCGGGAAAATGCCTGATCAACTATTGGTAAGTTCCTTCAAATTTTCTATATACGTCTATTAAATAAAGATCGCAGGACGTCTATGACCAGCTCCAAGCAAAGGTCAATGAGATCATTTCTACCAGAAATCTTGATAAAAAACGCCAAACATCTTATGAAACCTTCTTGTTCACGATCATGTATGTTATTTTCGCCTATTAATGTTCTAGATGCCATACTAATTTTGGCAGCCACCGCACGTCGAAAATCGAGCCGGAGGTCCGTTTACAGAAATTGAAAGGATTTCTCACACCTGTGCAAATGAGTTGGCAGGATTCAGAAATGAATACAGCAATTGAAAGTTTCTCCGGGTTCTGTGACCTACTCGGATTGAACCGCGTAAAAGACTTCCTTATCACAAGACGAGTTCATGAGATTCAGGATTGGTCGACGTATCAGCTTGACTCAGAGGCACAATCGA